TCTCATCATCATCATCATCATCACGGTGGCTAAGAGATGTTAACTACCTCGCCTGGTGCGCAGGAGGTCGTGGGTTCGATCTCGACCCTGACGATGCCTGCTGCTGTATATTTGGAGTTTGCGTGTCTCTCTCATCATCATCATCATCACGGTGGCTAGGAGATGTTAACTACCTCGCCTGGTCTACAGGAGGTCGTGGGTTCGATCCCAACCCTGTGACGCCTGCTGCTATATATTTGGAGTTTGCGTGTCTCTCTCATCATCATCATCATCATCACGTTGGCTAAAAGATGTTAACTACCTCGCCTGGTGTGCAGAAGGTCGTGGGTTCGATCCCGACCATGACGCCTGCTGCTGTGTATTTGGAGTGTGCGTGTCTCTCTCCCCGTGGTCGCGTGGATTTGTCTCCGGGTCCTCCGGTTTCCCCCTCCACATTTAGAATCAATGTGCCGCTTTAGAGTATTTGGCTGCTATACATTTACCACGTGAAATTCAGCCACTTGGTTGAGCAGTCATTGGTGATGGCCAGGTCGCTTCTGAAGAAGACCCACATAGCTCAGTGGGGCATTACCTGATACACTAGAAAGAGTTCGTTTAAAATAGCTTCACATTGGTAGAGGAAATGTTGAACTTCTTTCGCACCGTACGTAGGTAGCCAACCGTGCTAATCGGAGGTGCGATTGGTTGGCATGTGCCGTGGTGGAAAGAATGCACCCCCCGCCCCCCCCCCTCGTGTGCAGCTGCACCGCCTGCACTCCGGACAGCTCCGTCCCTCAGGCGTGGCAGTGAACCGAGGATTTCTCCAAATACCCCGAGCGAAAGTGTGTGGCCGCACGATAGGATAATGAGCTCGTCATTGCCGCACTTAATTGAATAAATCTGCTGTGTTACGAGGCCTTGCGGATGGTGAAGCTGCGAAACGATAGGCGTGAGGATGGAATCGCTGTTTAAAGTCTTCAACATTCGAGCTGAAAAACCGTTCGACGTTTCGGGCAACAGCCCTTCGGCATCGCGCGTGCGCTATGAGCGCGTGCATGTTTGTCGTGTCCACTGCTTGTCGACGCAGCAGCCGCAGTGGCATCATCGCCACCACCTCCACCACCACCTCCACCACCATAATTAACGTTTGGTTTAATTGTTACTTGGAATTACTCTTTGGTTCTTTCGGTAAAGTCACGTAGAAAGAAAATAAATGAAATAATAGAATACGACGTTTCGATTGCAAGACAAGCAGTCGTCATCAGGTCGAACTAGATTTGAGAGAGAGACAAAAACACAGACACGGAGACACACAGACAGACACACGAGCAGAGAGAGACACACACAGAGACACACAGAGCGAGACACAGACAGACACACAGAGAGAGAGACACAACATAGACACACAGAGAGAGACACAACATAGACACGCAGACAGACACACAAGCAGAGAGAGACACACAGTGAGACACAGAGAGACAGAGAGAGAGAGAGACAACACAGAGACACACAGATAGAGACACACAACATAGACACACAGACAGACACACGAGCAGAGAGAGACAACACAGAGACACACAGAGCGAGACACAGACACACAGAGAGAGACACACAACATAGACACACAGAGAGAGACACAACATAGACACGCAGACAGACACACAAGCAGAGAGAGACACACAGAGTGAGACACAGAGAGACAGAGAGAGACAACACAGAGACACACAGATAGAGACACACAACATGGACACACAGAGAGACACACAGAGAGAGAGAGACACACGACATACTTGGGAAGTCCAGCGAAAACGAATCGACATTGCGAAACGCTGAAATGTACGTGACCATGGGGGAAGTTGCTACCGCGGTCACTGGCCTATTCTTCACATGAATATGGCCAACTCATATTCTTTGCGTCGTTCGGTAAAGTCACGTTAGATGGGTTCAAAGAAAACAACAACAAAAAACTACCGACGTTTCGATCGCAACACAAGCGGTCGTCAGCAGGACCGATCGCGTTGCGATCGAAACGTCGTAGTTTATTATTTTCTTTGAACCCATCTAACGTGACTTTACCGAAAGACCCAAAGAATATGAATTCCTGCGGTCACGAAAACTTTAAGTCGAGATTGAATATGGGCAACGTCGCAATCACCGCGCGTCGCAAACCCTAAAACCCACAATGCATCTCACAAATTCGCGGAACGGGGCCCCCCCATTGCGTTGGCGCGTCTTCAACGACCTCCATTTGTTCGGCGGTGCAATTGAATAAAGTGTGGTTTAATTTGTATGCAAATGAGGCGGTGTTAATTAAGCTCGCTTGGGCGTGTCCCCCGAGGCGCCGAGATGGGTCATCGCCTGACGATTGCTGAGGGTCAGACGTGGGGGACGAGAGCCGTGCTGACCGAGACACACGAGGGTAAATGGTCAGCTGAAGAGAGTATAAACGTCGTGGTTTTTTTAGTAAGTGTTCCTGCTACTTGATTTTTTTAGCTGTGGATCAGAGGTCGCAAACGGGTTTTGATTCCTTACCCGTACCCGTACCCGGCCGCACCAGGGTCGCAAACGGGTACCCGTACCCGGCCGGGTATCGGGTAGGGTACCTGATTGCGACCTCTGGGATGAAGCCATGTTGCAGGCGCGGGTGGGTTGATTCTAGGAACTTGAATTGTGAGAAGAGACAAGACGTTGGGAAATGAGTGACAGTTACTCACCAGTGACTCACGGCCTACCCGTACCCGTACCCGGCCGCACCAGGGTCGCAAACGGGTACCCGTATCCGTACCCGGCCGGGTACGGGTAGCCGGGTATCGGGTAGGGTACGGGTATCGGGTACCCGGTTGTGACCTCTGCTGTGGATTAACTTTGGATATTAAAAGATGGGTGGTAAGATTTTAACAGCGGCAAAATGTAAAAATATCGAAAATTTGTGAAATCTGGATGCAAAATAACTGAGAATTCTTGATTTAAAAAAAAATTTATCGAGAAATCTGGAGATAATACAGCAAAGAAAAATCTGCAGGAAATCGGAGACATTTGGTAAAAAATTTGGGAAATCTGGAGAATATATCTGAAATGTTTTTTGGATACAATCTGCGAAACTCCTGAGAAATCTGGAGGGTTAAAAAACTAAAATCCCGAGATATCCGATGAAATATCACTTCGAAAAATCCAGAGACATCTGTAGAAGGATCACACTCGTCCAATACGTCCTTCCCAGTATCTTCCACGTGTCCACCACGACCTAGCAGGGTGGAAACCCCCAGTGAGTGAGAGATGATGTTCGCTGCTGGCAGGAGAGTGGGATGGGGAGACACAGAAACTTCGAGTTCTCCACGGTAATTGATACCGCAATAGGGACGAGTGTGCTAAAGGCATTACGCTAAAGGCATTACGCTAAAGGCAGTGCGCGCTGTTTAGGGAGCGTTAGGTATCGACACGGCAATTTCTTATGCCGGGGCAAGACCCAGCACAAGTAGCTACACATGTAGTAGCAGCTACATATGTAGTAGCTACGCATGTAGTAGCTACACACGCTACGGGCCCCGCACTTTCAAGGGCATCGCGCTAAACGCTTTCAAGCTATCAATTCCGGCTGAGTGATTCTGCACTTGCTCTATTACTATAGTACTATACCGCCTTCGACTTTTATGAACGACCGGGTGTTTAAGGTTGGCGATTTGTCGTATTATCTGTGGCTGTATAGCGAATGAAAAATACAATTACCCTACTATGCAATAAAAAAATTGTTTTAATATTTGTGTTTTTAAATGTAGGGCCCCTTTCTAACAACATATGCTGCAGGCTTCATCCCGCACTGGGAAGACCTCGTGCGCATAAAACTGAGTGTTTGGTAATTGGATGGGTCGCTGGTGTCAGGAGATGACCCTGCAGGTACGGCCCATGCGCATTGTTTAGGTGGCGTTTGGTAACGAGGGTCGTCATCTCGTTATTGGCGAGCGACGATTGATTGATCGGCAGGCGGACGGGTACGCGTTGTGTCGGGAGTTTTTGGTCGTTTAAAAAAATGCGGTCGTTCTTGTTGAGGGTTGCCGATGGGAGTTTAAGCGTGTGGAAGTGTGCGCGGCGTTTAGGGAGCATTTGGTATAACAACGATCTCGTAATTGTTATGTGGAGAGAGAGATTGGCACGTGGAGAGTGCGCGTTTTTTAGAGAGAGTTCGGTACCTGTGTGTGTGTACACGTGTGTGTACACGTGTGTGTGTGTGTACACGTGTGTGTGTGTGTACACGTGTGTGTGTGGGGAGCGGTAGTGTAGCGGTTAGCGCGCTGCGCTATGAACCTGGCGACCCGGGTTCGACTCCCGCTCACGGCCAACACCAGTGAAACTGAACCGATCCTGGGTCCTCCCCTAGGTCGACTAAGCCTCAAATGAGCACCTGGTGCGGTGTGTAAACATCGCCACTGGGGAGACAAAGGCGGCCGGGCGTGGTGCTGGCCACCCACCCCCTCGTGTACCTCAGTGCGCGGTGTTTCTGGGGTGCGTGGTGTACAAGCAGCATGGTGTTAGATAGCCCCTTAAGTAGTAATGCGCGTTGTTTAGCGGCAGCGCGGTAAAGCAGCACGTTGTGTTGATCGATCGTGATTTCTTTTGTATCGCCTCTTCTTTAGCGTATAGGTTTGTTATATGGCCTGGTAAAGTATCGTTAAAGTATCAGCGTGCGCGTTGTTTAGCGAGAGCGTGGTCGCAATAAGTGGTTTGCAAACAGCGAAAAGACTGTGGTGGGTGAGTGGGTAGGTGAGTGGGTAGATGGGTTGGTGGTGAGTGGGTTGGGGGTGGGTAGGTGGATTATTGGTGGTGGGTGGGTAGGTGGTGGGTAGGTGGTAGGTGGTGGTGGGTAGGTGGTGGGTAGGTGGTGGGTAGGTGGTGGGGGTGGGTGGTGGATGTGGTTAGTGGTGGTGGGTGTTGGTGGTAGGTGGTGAGGGTTGCTGGTGGGTGGGTTGGTGGTGTGTGTGGGGGTAGGTAGGTGGGTTTGGTGGTGGTAGGTGGGTTTGGTGGTGGTAGGTGGGTTTGGTGGTGGTAGTTGGGTGGTGTGTGGTAGGTGGTAGGTAGGTGGGTGGGTCAGCGAGTTCGAGTGCGCGGCCTCTAGGAAGCGCGCGGTAGCCGCAGTGACCGCCCGTCCTCCTCCTGCTGCTGCTGCCGCCTCCACACGAGGAGTCGCTCCTCTGGTCCCGTGAGCAGCGAGAGAGGTGGGGGGGGGGTGGTGACACGGGCTGCCGTGAGAGGCAGCAGGGAGGGAGGTCTCTCCCCACCCGGCTCCCCACACACACGGGGCCAGGCAGCCCCGGCACTGTGCACGACTTTGCTGCATACAATAGCCACAGAGAGAGACACCACGGGCGGACAGGCACAGGCACTCGGGGCGTGTACGCGCAAGCTTGAACATAGGTGTGCTGTGATTTCACACAGACACACACACAGACACACACACACAGACACACGGACACACACAGACACACAGACACGGACACACACACGGACACACACACACGGACGTGATGTAATCACATACAGCCGTGCGAAACGTACGGCCACTATTCGCTTACGCCGGTACACACAGACCTTCCACTGTCTTCACGCACGCGTGGTCACACACACCACACACACACACGTGGTCACACACACACACACCACACACACACCACACACACACACGTGGTCACACACACACGTGCACACACTAATACGCACGTGTACATACTCAGGTGTTTACACACTAATACACACGTGTACACACTAATACACACCTATACACAGAGACATGCACTGTATATACACACTTTAGACACCTATATACTGTAAACACACATATCTATACACGTGTACACACAGACACGTGCTCACACACGTGTTCACACACACACACACACGTGTACACACACACACCTATCTCCACACACATCTCCACACACACACGTGTACACACACATCTACTCACACACACGTGTACACACTCCCATCTACACACACACACACGTGCTCACACACACATCTATACACACACGTGCACACACACACACACACATCTACACACACGTGTATACACACCCATCTACACACACACACACGGGCTCACACATCTACACAAACGTGTACACACACACACGAGGGCAAGGTGGGTGTGGATGTGTGCCGCGTGTTTGCAAGTCCCGACGAAGACGACGTCTTCGTGTTCTCGCTGGGATTGTAGTCGCGCTGTGAAGATCTGACGACTTTGCGGGGAGATTTACGAACGATCGCGGTGAACGAGGGGGGCTGACAAGACGAAGATCGACGTTTCGGAGGGGGGGGGCCCTACAGCAGCTGTGAAGACGCGTTTGTGTCATATCCACTGCTGGATGAGAGAGGCCTCTCTGATCATCAGCTGTTGTTTGGAGGATCGTGAACAGAAGGCGAAGAGCGAAAGCCGCCACGGGGTTTGTTCGACGTTTCGCGAGCGAAGCCTACAAGCGAAGCTCCTCCCGTCGAGGCGATTTGCCCGGATTGTGATTGACCATACTTCACCATCCTGGTGTCGTGAAGAAGACGAGATGATGGTGATGATGGTGATGATGGTGGTGGTGGTGATGATGGTGATGATGATGGTGGTGATGGCTTTGGATGGATGAAGACGGCGATTCGCGTGGACTTTGAAGCAAGGTGCCAGCTTGTTGAGGATAATGTTAAAGTTTAAAGTCGTTAAACACAAAAGGTGAGGATGTTGTTGTTTACACTCCACAACCAGCGTCGCCATTGTTGTTGTTGTGATGCACAACACCGATCGATCTCATCGGTAGCGTACAATTGGAAATTGTAGACGATGTCGCTTATACATCATCGCAATATAAATATGTTATATTATTATATTATTTTATAAAGTTTTATTATTTCCATTCTACGTGACTTTACCGAAAGAACCAACAAGATGAATCCCTGCAGTCACGAAAGCTTTAAATCGAAATATAAATATGTTATTATGAATTGTAAACGTTAAGCTATAAGTGTTGAGTGGTTTAAGTGTTGCTGTTTGCGGCTCGACACTTTATCAAAGTGTGTTGTTGTTGTTGTTTACAACTTCGGGAGGTCACATTCGGGGGGGGGGTAACTATTTACTGCTGTGCAGGCTGGTCCGAATGTCTTGTGACCTCCCCCCCCCCCCCCATTGAATTCTCTAAAACGTAATATATTTTGTAAAGTTCATTTAAAATATAAATGAATATGCAAATAAGGGGGGAGGGGTGCGTACAATTTTAGGGCTAAATCAATTGTGGGGAAGGGGGGAGGGTCACAAGACATCCGGACCGCCCTGTACGACACTAAACATTTGCAAGTTCGCGACTAAACGCATCTTTAGAGATTTTTTTTCACGCAATCCACGCGTCGTCCAGCCACGTGGTTACCATTGGGTTCTCATTACAGCAGCAGAGCGGGCATTTGTTAACGGGGGGGGCTGGGCCCCCCACTCCGTGCTGTTTGTGAGAAAGGGATTTTGATAGACCACTTAAAAGTCCCGTAAATGTTGACGAACCATCAGCAGTGGTCCACAGCTCGTGTTGCCTGGCAAGGCTCGTGGGCAACTCGGACGCTTTGTGGAACGGAGTTGTGGAACGTAGCGACACATTAGGTGGTGATGGGTGGGACACCTGGTGGGCAGAGTGGAGGAGTAGGTGGTGATGGGTGGGACACGTGGTGGGCAGAGTGGAGGAGTAGGTGGTGATGGGTGGGACACGTGGTGGGCAGAGTGGAGGAGTAGGTGGTGATGGGTGGGACACGTGGTGGGCAGAGTGGAGGAGTAGGTGGTGATGGGTGGGACACGTGGTGGGCAGAGTGGAGGAGTAGGTGGTGATGGGTGGGACACGTGGTGGGCAGAGTGGAGCAGGAGGTGGTGATGGGTGGGACACGTGGTGGGCAGAGTGGAGGCAGGAGGTGGTGATGGGTGGGACACGTGGTGGGCAGAGTGGAGGAGGAGGTGGTGATGGGTGGGACACGTGGTGGGCAGAGTGGAGCAGGAGGTGGTGATGGGTGGGACACGTGGTGGGCAGAGTGGAGGAGTAGGTGGTGATGGGTGGGACACGTGGTGGGCAGAGTGGGGGAGGAGGTAGTGATGGGTGGGATACGTGGTGTGCAGAGTGGAGGAGGAGGTAGTGATGGGTGGGACACGTGGTGGGCAGAGTGGAGGAGGAGGTAGTGATGGGTGGGACACGTGGTGGGCAGAGGGGTGAGATGTTGTAAGCAACTTGGAGATTTGTGGAGGAGGAGGATTTAGGCGAAGCAACTTTGGAGGTTCACGATCAGAATCTTTATTTTTCTTGGGGGAATCCGAATATCCATGAAGCTCTTTTTCCACATGTTCAGTTGGGGTTGTTCAGCCCGTTACAAGTTAGGCTTGGCGATAGGAGCCTGGGAGCTTGTGATGGGTGGGATGGATGGTGGTGGTGGTGATATCAGAGTTGGTCCGACCCCAATGTAGGTCATCACTCCAGCAACCGAATGAACTTAAAGCAGGGAGGGGGTGTGGAATCTTTTATCTGCCAAGGGCCATTTGGATATTTATAACATCAATCGCGGGCCATACAAAATTATCAACTTAAAAATGCGCCTGTTATGTTTGGTCAAACGTTTAATTAACTCACCCCTAATGTGATGGCTGGAACTGCTTCTCTTTGGTGAGGCGTGTGATGTTAGCTGCTGGTGTTGATGATGTTGCTACTCGCAACTGCTTTTCCAGCTTTGCTCCGAGATTTATTGAATTTCGAGTCACGCCTGCGGTTGCCTTGGCAGGGCCACACCAAATGATTTCGCGGGCCGGACGTTCATGCATGACAATGATGATGACAACGATGGTCAGTTAAAATATATTTCTATTTCTTACGTTTGAATACCCAGGAAAGAATCACAGTCTGATGGCTCATTTTCAAGAGGGTCCTACCAACTTATTTTAGCTAGCAGTGAGTGGTGGTCAGTGATTGCTGTAGCGAATCTAATTCCTATCCAGTGCTTGGCTATCATCACCCGTGACCTACTGCTGGATAGCGCGCGCTTGAGTTGATTTCGTGGTTCAAACATTCATTGGCCCTCGTGTGTTGTTGGTTTTATCACTAATAATTTTATTTTGGGGGGGTGGAAGGTGGTGAGCGATGTGTGAACTGTGGCTATCTATGTTTAAAATCAGGCATCCCTGGGAAATGTAAAAACAAAATCATAGAAGGATCACAAAAATCAGCAGGATTACAAAAATCAAAACAGAATCACAAAAATCATCAGGATTACAAAAATCATAGAAGGACTACAAAAATCATAGGACTACAAAAATCATAGAAGGACTACAAAAATCAAAGCAGGATCACAAAAATCATAGAAGGATCACAAAAATCATCAGGATCACAAAAATCATAGGACTACAAAAATCAAAGCAGGATCACAAAAATCATGATCACAAAGTGAATTATTCATCTGGAGAGCAAAAACGGCATTGCTTGAACAATTTCCAGAATTGGATTTGGGGGTCAGTAATGTTTAGAATTTTTAATTGAGTACCTTTTTCATAATTTTGTAATGTTTGTAAATGTAGTAGTTGTTTTAGTATTTTTGTTGTAAATCTTTTTGTAATTGTCAGTAAAAAAAATCGTAATTTCCCCCGTCAAAAGTTCGAGAGTAAAACACAAACTAACCAGAACAAAGTTGAACAAAAAAGTACGAATTGAAAAAAAAAGTTTGAACCAGAAATGTTGCAACGGCCAACACGGGTGACCGGTCGGTCCGGTTTGCGCACGCAACTTTCTGGAAAAGAATGATGATTTTTTAAATTATTATTTAAATTATACCGCGAAGTTTATTTTTTAGACATTTCTCTCCCTCGACACGAATTGTGGCAAGAAATCACTTTCTCCCACATGTGCGTACCACCACCACCACCAATTCAACGTCGCCGCATATCCGCCCTGCCCAATTATTATAGCCGCCCAGTAGCACCACAAGCAAACTCGACACACACACACGTGTACTGCTGCCCCCTTTTTCAAGCGAAAACAATCATAGTACATCCAGTAGCAACATCCAGCACCCAAGTGCTGTACTAACTCAACCAAAGTAAATTCTATTTCACATCCCAAACAATCCTTGACCACTTCTCCTAGATTCTTAGATCGACTCAATTTTTATATGAGTACCTGGTGCAGTGTAGTAAAAAAAAAACCATCAGTGCTGGGAAGACAAAGGCGGCCGGGCGTGGTGCTGGCCACACACCCCATCGTGTGCTGCTCCGGCCTTCATAGGTGCTGCTACCCACTGACAGCACTTGCCCCAACAGTCTGTTGAGGCTATACGGGGGATCTTTGTCTCGTTCATAGGTGTTGTTGCTGCTACCCGCTGACAGCACTTGCCCCAACAGTCTGTTGAGGCTATACGGGTGATTGTCTCGTTCATAGGTGTTGTTGCTGCTACCCGCTGACAGCACTTACCCCAACAGTCTGTTGAGGCTATACGGGTGATCTTTGTATACGTGTACGCATGTGTTTGCCCCAACAGCCTTTTCACGTGTCTTCCTGGGGCATCTTTATCCATGTGCGTGGTGTGGGTGGGAGAGACATTCTGCAGACCTGGCCATTGTGTGCCTGCACCACGGCATGCGAGAGCCATACCTCTGCAGGTCTGCCGCATCGTCTGCAATTACCACCGGGTAGCATGCAGACACCACAATGATGATGCACCAATTATAGTGGCACGCCAATTGTGCACGTGCGTGTGTGCGGTGTTCAGGCCCTTTGTGTGTCTCGCTTTTTTTTTTTACACTGGGTGCAATTGTGAACAACAGCCATATCAGATATTTCGTAACATCTAAATCGGCATCACCATTGGGTTCAGCTCGGTCCCCACGAGGCATGTGTGTACACGTGTGTGTGTGCGTACACGTGTGTGTGTGTGCGTACACGTGTGTGCGTGCGTACACGTGTGTGCGTGCGTACACGTGTGTGTGTGCGTACACGTGTGTGTACACGTGTGTGTACACGTGTGTGTGCGTACACGTGTGTGTGCGTACACGTGTGTGTGTGTGTGTGTGTACACGTGTGTGTGCGTATGTAGGGAGCGGTAGTGTAGCGGTTAGCGCTACGTACCTGGTGACCCGAGTTCAATTCCCCGAATTCGAACCGCGTTGTTTGATCGGCATCGCGCTCGCTGAAGGTGAATGCCTTCAGGGAAGTCGTGTACGTAACTGCGCACAATTCTGAGTCACTTATAACCACTTATTGCTGATTATGGACTCAGACTATTGTCCTATCATCTCATAGAGTCCCTGGCACGTAATAAAATGCTACACAGTGGCAGTGGGGGTCGCAAAATGCCGATTTATTACGAATAAACCCCAATGATCCGATCGTACTTCACCACGCTGGTTGGCACGGGTTGGTGAAGGTGAGGAGGCCGTAGACCTTGAGTAGCCCTGACTTTGTGAGCCTCTTGAATTAACACCGAACCCTTTGGCAGCCTTGGCCTGGCTCTGTGAGCCTCTTGAATTAACACCGAACCCTTTGGCAGCCTCTGTGAGCCACAGCGATTAACATCGGGCCCAGTGGCGTAGTAGCGTTGGCATGGGCCCTGGCTCAAGGAATTAAATGACCCCCACCATATTTAAATCCCTTGGGGCCCCCCTCCCTCCAGCCCCATGGTCTCCCCCGGTGCAGTTGCACCGCCTGCACACTCTCCAGCTCCGCC